CCACTGGTCTAGCCCACCCCCCATGCCGCCCCCAGCACAGCTCTGCCCTCGCTGGGCTGCCGTGAGCCGCTCCAGCTGGAAGCACCTCCAGCACAGAACAAAGGACTTGGGACTGAGCATTTGGGAGAAACACCAGGATTCTTCTGGGGACCAGCCAATGGGGAGGGAAAAGCAATCCGTTCTCCCTTCCCGGATCCTGGAATGAGAGACGGGGTGGGGGACTCGTGTGCTGGAATCTCGACAGTGCCCTGCCAAGAACAAATGATCATGACGGCTGATGCCTCGGGCCTGAGGCCAGCAGAACGGTGACCAAGCTCGTAATGTAAACACCACTGCAGAACCACGCTAATCCTGGGGCGGCTGCCAGAGGTCGGCTCCCTGCTTCCATTGCCCTGATGTCACTGGGGCTCTGCATTCTCAGCGCTGTGACGTTTACAGTATCAAGAGCTCTCTCACTTCATTTCACGCATCCTCTCTGGGACCCTGAGCGTGTGCATGGGGCCGTGGCCCAGCCTGCAGAGCCAGCTTTCTTCTGAGCCTCAGGCAGAGGGCCGGTGGGCAAGGCTGGGGGCAACTGCTAATTTCTACAGCAGGCGTTCCATTCCCCTCCCAGCAGAGCCCCCTGCAGCCTGCCTCGGGGTTGGGGAGGGCGCCACCAGTTCACGCTTCCTAGTCCGTGGTGGGATAGAAACACCTCCGTTCACAGAGACGCCCACCACCTTCAGGGATGCACATCCCTGTGCACCAGAGACCAGGGCCCACCGTTCAGCCTGGAACCCAAGACCCCATTCCCATTATGAACATTTGTTGAGTGGGACTCTCTGCTCTACTAGATGGTGTTTTTTCTCAAAACAGCAGCCCACAGATAAGTCTGCTTTGTCAATTTGCTTTCATGAATTAAGAGATGAATCTTTTAGCCCAGCCGAGGCACTGGCTGGGGATTTGATGTAGGCAAGTCATTCCCCCTCTCTGAGCCTCAAGGGCCTCAACTACAAAATGAGGGCAGTGGACTAGGTGATTTCAGAGCCCTATTGTCACTCTAACCTTCTGTGAATCTATAAACATCCATGTAGCGATCTGAGCCACCTGCCTGTGGCTGGGGAGTCTTGCCTTCAGGCCTTTGCTCACACACTGCCCCCTCCTGGGATGCCTCCCCTGTCTGATCATCTAAGTTCTCTGCTTCTTCCAGAGCCACAGAGAGATTTCAACAGACTTGATAAATGCTGAAAGTCCAAAGCAGAAAACAGAAAGCCCCACTGTGAATGTACACAAAAGACAAACCCAGAGACAAAGCTCATAGAAAACTGTGTAACGAAGTGAGAGAATGAAACCGTTTGGGGTCAAGCTCAAGAATAACAAACAAGCTCATATATGAAAAGTATACATAGTTGGGGTATTTGTGGATTCTGAGCCAGGAAAGGGCAAAGTACGTGCGTGTGTGTGTGTTTAAAGACTAAGAGAGCAACTGCACAAAACTAGCAAAGAAAGGCCACTCAGACAGCAGTGTAAAAATGCAGGAAATCTTCTCTGGTAAAACATCCCTTATCTAAAAGCCAGGGTAGAGTTCTGTGCTGTTGAAGTTGAATGGTAATTACATTCAGATATACCAAACAGAACTCTCTTGAATCATACCAGTTGGGTCCCTAACAACCATGAGAGAGGGAGGTGGGAAGGGGAGACACCAGCCACAGTGGTGGTCCTGGGAGATAGAGGGGCCGAATGGTGTTCATCTCTGAAGAGCCAGCGACCCATCAATAATGCCAAGCTTGAAGACTGGAAGGCAGGTCTGGGCAGAACCGAGATGAAACTTCAGTTCAAAGGAACCAAGTGTGAAACTTCGTTTCAGAACCAAAGAAAGACCGCTTAGAGGATTCCACCGGAAGAACCATGGCAAATGCGTGACCCAGAGCCGCTTCAGCGCGAGCCAAGCAGAGGGACTCAGAAATTAAAGAATCAGGATGCTGCACCAGCAGGAAGCCTGGTGATGTCTGTTGACCGGAAGAAGGAAGGGGGAACGCCTGGTAGGGCCTACCCCCCAAATACGGGAACAGACCTGAGGGACCACGCTCCCTTCTCACTTCATGGCTGCTAGCTGGTCTCTCTCCACCCCAGAAAGCACCACGGTCAGTGAAAAAACATGGTTTCTGAGCCAGAAAGACCCACTTTAAATCTTGGCTTTGTCACTTGCCAATTGTGTAAGAAACACTGGGAAAGTTATTCGAGTTTCTCAGCTACAAAATGGGTTCAATAATACCTTTTTTTGCAGGATGTGAGGATGAGCAGTCTTTAATGTCTACTTAGAGAAAATGTCGACAAAATGTCTGGCTCGTGGTAGGTTCTGATTCGGTGTCGCTGCTATTATTAAGTACTGAACAGACTGGGGAGGTCAAGGAAATGAAAAGATGGGAAAAGCTAAGACCCCAGGGGTGTGGATTGGGAAGAAGACATGCTACCGCCTGCTCTCCTTTGACTTCTGAGACATGAAACCAAAGTGACCCAGGACAAGAAAACTGATCCAATGATGGCACGGGTTCAAAAGATGTAACAGCTGTTCCACAAACATTCCTCGAGTTCCAGCCACATGTATCACACTGTTAGGTGCTGGGGGACACAGGGGTGGACAGCTGAGGGTGACTGGCTGTGACAGATTGAGCACTGGCGTTGAGTTGAAAGTCGTGGGCTGGTGACTGAAGGGCACATTTAAAACGGGTGAATCCGACGGCATGTAAATTACACCTTATTAAATCTGCTGCCTACAAAAGCCCTGGGTTGGATCAATTCTAATTGTGTGTCCTGGAGTAAGCCTGGTATTTTCTCCTGCAGCCTCAGCTGCTTTTCTGCAGGAATCCTACCCGCTCTCCATAGTGAAACCTGCCTTCAACCAAGCTCGTAGCTGGTGATGGGGACCCACTTTAAAACGAAATAATGTTCTATTATTATTAACTGGATCTGGAAAGTACCGTGCAAATATAAGTCTCCATCATGACTACCTTCTGCTCTGATAAATACAGAATCCCAGAGAAGGGAGACTTCGGTGAACTAGAGAGGCCAGCGGGTTCCTGGAGGAGATGGGTTTGACTGAGATGGGAAGGATCAGTGGAATTTGGATCACGAGGAGGAAGAAGGAGGTTGTGCAGTGGAAGGAAGCGCTGGAGTAAAGCTAAGGCAGTGGGAAAGGTGGGCTGTGTCTCTGGGGCAGGGATAAGACGTGTCCCACTGGACTGGATGCCTCACATAAGGCAGGGGATGCAGGATGGCCGTCTGTGGACCATGTATGACCCACAGATATGTTGTATTTGGCCCACAGAGTTAAACAATTAAAAATTTCTAGAACATTCCATGTTTCCAGTTTCTCTGGAAAAAATGCGAAGACCTTATCAATGCCAGGCCAAAACGGGCTGGACCTGCCATAGCCCCTACTACTCCCCTGACACCAAAGTCACTTTAGGCATTGACATTGCTCGACTGGCCCCTGCAGACAGTTCTGTTTGTAACCCCTGGTACAGGGGACCAGTTAGAGGAGAAGGCAGGAAAGACAGGCTGGGGCCAGGGATGTGATGGAAGGCACATCAGCTCTGGGATCAGAAGAGCTAGGGTTCAAGTCCTGGCCCCATCACCTCCTAGCCTGCAACTGTGGGCAGCTTTCTGAATCTCAGCACATTCATGGTTGTTTTCAAAAGACACCCTGTGAGATACATTTGGCGCCGTACCTGACATAGTTGGTGTTCAAAATGGTATTAGCATTGTCTACTGTCAGCCTGAGGAGTTTTTGGTGAACCCCGCAGACCTGGGTTCTGAGCAGGGGCTCATGCAGGAAGAGTACATTTCATGAACACTCTGACAGTGACATGCAGGGCAGACAGCAGCGGGAAGGAACGGGGGAGAGGGGAGCGGGGGAGTGGTCAGTCAGGGGTGCCAGAGAGGAAGGTTGCCTGTAAAAGTGCTGATGTTGGTGGACCCCGAGCGAGAGTCCGAATGGAGGCCCGTGCATTTTTGCCATTATATTCAAGAGTGATAAATGAAGCCAACACATTGTTAAAGAAAATAAAACATGTTCTTCTACCTGGATGAATATAGCTTTATAACAGCCTGGAAGGCCAGGTTCAAATTTGGAATTGTCCAACTTTTTGTAGCTCCACCATGTGTACGGTCAGGCCACCCAAGATGGCTATTCTCTTGCTCTCTGAACATCCCCTGCCCAACGAGTGTCTGCTTCACCTACACCCTAATCACGTGACTCATCTTCCTACATACTTGCCTCCGCCCCAGCTAGTGACTGTTCTTATCAAAGGGGCCTTGAGGGGCGTGACCCTCCGCCAGTTTCCCTGGTAACCGATGAGCCCACCTGACATCAATTCCCAACTGGCAATCTCCCCTTCCCCCCCCCCCCCACAGAGAATACTGCCGCCTTGTCCTGCCCGCCCATCGGACGCACACGGTGGGGTGTCACTCCAGGACCTTGCTTCAGACGTGTAAACTCCCCAATCCATTAAACCACTCATGTCTCTGTTGCTGACTCCAGGCTCTTTCTTCTGTCTTAAAGCTGGGCAAGTGCAGGCCTTGTAGGCCTGCGGGGCGCAGCCCAACATCATGGAACACCATGCGAGGACCAGGACACTGGGGGGGCGCCTCCCTGTCTGGCCTGAGCCCCAGCTTTCCTCCCCAGCCCCAAACTCTTGGAGGCTCCGGCTGGCACATCCAAGCTCTGACCACCCAGGTCCCCAGGAGCCATCTTGGCCATTCTCATGCCTAGGGGTGCAGACAGAGTGCACTGTCTGGGGCCGGGGGCAGCAGGGAGGAGGTTTATCCCGTGCGGGCCTGGAAATGGGCACAGTCCGTTTGGGCAGAACACTCCAGGGTCCTGGAGGGCAAGACTTCATGAAGGGGGAGCGGGTTCGGGGAGGGAGGGGGACTCCCGGACCTTGGGGAGGCAGGTGCGGGAAGAAGGCCTGAGCAGGAGGGCGCAAGCAGCCCCCAGGGTCCCGGGCGGTCGGCTGTACCTTTGGCCAGGGAGATGTTGCGCAGCGCGATGGAATGCTCCCAGTCCTTGAGGCGCAGGTCCTCGGTGACGCTGTTGAGCACGGCCAGCTCCTGCTTGAGCTGCAGCTCCAGGCTCCGGTGCACGAGGCGCATGCGGCGCGCGTCCTCGCTGGCGTTGCTCACCAGCACCTGCAGGTCCCGCAGCCGCGTGCCCTGCAGGGCCACGTCGTAGGACAGGCTGAGGTTGAGGCCGCGCAGGGCGCCGCCCACGTCGGCCAGCTCGTCGCCCAGGGCGCCCACCCGGCGCGCCAGCCCGTCCAGCAGGCCGGCGTGGCGCCGCAGCAGCAGCTGGCTGCGGTTGCTCTCCACCTGCAGTTGGTAGAGCTCCAGCTGCGCCGCGTCGCTCTGCTGGGCCGTGCGGTCGCGCAGCAGAGCCACCGCCTGCTCGCTCTGCGTCGCCTGCGCCTGGAGTCCCCACAGCGCCCCCTCCAGCCGCTGCACCGCGCCCGCCAGCGCCAGCAGCGAGTCCGACTGGTTCTGCAGCGCGTCCTGCGCCTTCCACACCTGCTCGCTCAGCTCGGCCTGCAGCGGAGCCTGCAGCAGCCGCAGCTGCAAGTCCCGGAAGCTCTCGTTCAGCCGGTTCACGTTCCGAGTCAGCGCCTTCAGGTCGTCCGGTGAGCTCCGGGGCCTGGACACTGCGGAGGAGGAGGAGGGGTGGGGTGGGGGGGGGCGAGGTGAGGCGGCTGCGGAGGCCGCCGGGGCCCAAGAGGCAGGCCCGGACAGAGCCCGGCAGGCCGGAGGTGCTCAATAAACGACAGATGAAGGGAAATCAGACGTGGCCATGGCTGAGCGCCTCAATACATCCCCGGCACCTGTGCTCAGCCAGTGGTCCCCAAACGTGTCTGCCCATGAGAATCACCTGGCCAGGCATCCCACCTGTCGAAATTGTGATTGGATGGGTCTGGGAGGTGACCCGGGCTTTGGAATTTTAAAAAGAGCCCGAGATAATTCTAAGGTGCGGATGAGTTTGGGAACGGGGGACTCATTATGGATGAGGTTGAGCCATAAGACATTGTCTTTTTTTTTTTTTTTTTTTTTTTGCGGTACGCGGGCCTCTCACTGTTGTGGCCTCTCCCGTTGCGGAGCACAGGCTCCGGACGCGCAGGCTCAATGGCCATGGCTCACGGGCCCAGCCGCTCCGCGGCATGCGGGATCTTCCCGGACCGGGGCATGAACCCGTGTCCCCTGCATCGGCAGGCGGACTCTCAACCACTGCGCCACCAGGGAAGCCCCGACATTGTCTTTTTTATATTTTGGAAATGATCAGACATCAGCGGTTCCACGTGGCTCACCCTACAGTATTGTGTGTCATCCTTTCCATTTTAGGAGGGAGGTACCCTTATTTATCCCCTTTTAGGGCAAGAGCTGTTAAAGTTGCCCCAGGCAGAACAGCAAGTAAGAGGTGGAGCCAGGATTCCAACCCAGAGGGCTTGCGTGCTCCAGAACCCGGATGCCTCCCTCCAAGTCTGCTAGGGAACTGCCTGAAGGGACCGCGGCAGCAGCAGACTCGGCCAGGCTCTGGGCGACACTGGTAATTCCCACTCCTGAATTCAGGGTCCCATTCCCTCTGGGTGGGTGGAGATGTTTTTACATCCATACCCTCCCTTCTCTGCCTCTGACTTCTAAATCTCCTGTTTCCCTCCTCAGGCAAACAACCCATCTCAGTGATCTCCCACCCTTTCCTCTTGGCGAGGTTTCCTTTTCTTGGTTATAAGAAAAGCTATTTCACAATACGAAGGGGAGGGGTGTGCATCTTAATCATTATAAGCTAGCAGCCGGTGTCTCCTGGAAGCTCATGGACTGCACTCAGGTACACTACAAACCCTGGTGCATCCTGGGATGTCTAGGGATGCTTGTTAGTTTGCTGTGCACTCTCCACAGCTGTCTCCCGCTCTGCTCTGCAAATCAGAGAAATGGAAACTAGTAGTGGGGGGTGGGGGGCAGGGTAGGAGATGGGGGCAAATGAGGCACAGAGGGAGTTGTGCCTTGGGAATCTTGGAATGGAGCCGAGCCGGGGAATTTGGAACACAGCTTGTTCCAGCAGTGAGAAGATTTGGAAGGGGAAGGTAGTTTGGGAGGGTGCCGGGACTGATGCTTCCGGAAGTGCACAGCATAGATGGTGGCCACTCTGGAGGAGATAAGTCATTTCAGATTAGATTCAGAGGCTCACAGTGGTAGCTGGGCATTGGAACCCCACTTCAAATTCTCCCTCGAGACTTCCCTGGTGGTCCAGTGCTTCCACTGCAGGGGGCAAGGGTTCGATTCCTGGTCGGGGAACTAAGATCCCACATGCTGCGCGGTATGGCCAAAAAAAAAAAAAAAAACCGAAAACCAAACAACAACAAAAAAACAAATTCTCCCTCACTCAGCCCTTTAATCTCCAAGAAAAGCATATGCCCAGCCTCTGCATATACCCATCTCTCCACCTTCAGTTAGTTCTAACTGTTCAAATGTTCTACATTCCGTCCAGACTTGAAAGTTGCCTCCCTGTAATTTCTATCCACTGATCCTGCCCTCTGAGATCACATAAAGCAAGTGAATTTTTTTTTTCCCACAAGACAGGTCTTCAGCATCTCAAAGACGGTTATCACATCCCTGCTACGTAACAATGTTTCTGGTTTAAATCTGTAGTTCTTTCATCTGCTGTCTCACAACAAGCTTCTAAGCCTCCATGTATCCTGGCTAACCTCTTTTGCACATACTCAGTGTGTCAACATCCCCTTACAGGGTATGGCTTGATCCAAATTTGATTTTTCCATGATGTGGAAAGACTGGGCAAAGTATGGGAGAAGGATCGTCAACTTCATTCTGGGCATAAGACTCTCTAATACGGCCCAAAGTGGGTCTTTCAGACTTTCATCATAGAATTTAGGTCTATGCAGTCATCTGTAAAAAGTTTCCCCAATTTACAGATAAAAAGACTGAGTCCGGGAGACTATTTGTGTTCTGCCTAATGGCATGCTTCCTGACTCCCGGTGCAGTGGTTCCCTCCATTACTCCGCTACTCTGGAAAATTACCTAAAGAGTTGTCAATACAAGTAAAGGTTCTGGGGAAATGAATCCATGAACCAGTCACAGCCCAAGTGACCACAGGAACTGTCTACCTAAGAAATCATTGCAGTCCAGGATTAGATCATGTGTTTGTCCAATATTCGACCCAGATTGCTTGACAAGTATTAGAGAGAGGGCAGTTGGAAAACAGAAAGCCCAGTATTTTAGTGGCAGTCTCTGCTTTTGATGCTCCAAAGTTCAAAGAGATACCGCAGCTTATCAGAAGTAGTAAAACACTGTGAGTTTTGTTAATTCTGGTTTTAAAATTGGGATTGTGAGTGACTAAGAGTAACAGTGCAACTGCTTGATTTAAGACCCCGTTAGCTCAGGCCGGCCAGAGGCAATGCCACGAAGGAGGCAATCTCCCTTAAACTCACTCTCTGTCAGCTCCCACCAGCCCACCCCTCCTTCTCTCTTCAGGTGGTCCCCACGCCCAACTGGTGCCCTGTGCCCTTGGAGGCTCCTGGCCTTGCCCATCAGCCCCCTCCTTTCAGAACCTACCAACTTTAAGACCCCTCTCTCTGTCCAGAAAACTGGACTGAAACCTGCCCGTATGGTAAAGGCTGACAATCAGCTACCCCCTCCAGGAGGGTTCATTTGGGTCTTTGATTACTGTTCATTGCACAACCAATATTAACATAAATCGAAATAAAAGAAAAAATTCTTCCACCATCCCACAATCTCCAACAAAGCCCACTGGTTTTCCTTCCATGTCCTTCTTCTAGTTCCATCCATGTGCATACCCAATATTTACGATTTGATTTCTGGGTTTTTTTAATTGGTGAATGATTATTTTACAAATATTCTCCCATCTGTCATTTATAACTATATTTTTGACGGCCGCCTAAGCGTCTGTCAGGGAGATGTCTTGTAATTTACCCATTCTCAATCATGGAAAAATAAACACAGAAAGGTCCCTCCTTCTTTTGAAATGTTTCCTACCAGTAAATTCCCAGAAGTTGGATTAGTAGAGCCAAAGTTATAGACATTTTTATGACTCTTAAAAATTCCAACCCAATCACAAAAGAAAAAGAATAAAAAACTTCCAGCCAAATCGCATCCCCAAAAGTTATACCTATTTATAGGTATATTATAGATTTTTTAAATGTGCCAGTTTCAGTGAAACCTCAGTGTACTCTTACAATTTTCATATTGTTAATTTCACAGATACAGAACGATACCTTGTTATTTTATGTTAGTACACTTGCATTTAAGAAATGGCTGTTTCAAGGCAATGCATTAGCTCAAAAGAATGTTACAGGCGTTTTAGGTACTCCAGCTAATGAGAACAAAATTATTTTGAGGGGTTAATACTCTTCAGGCATCCAATCGTGCCGTGGAAGCCCAGAGCAGCTTCCCCCTTTTGGGATCACTTACCTACCCCAGAAGTGAATTATCTCCTTCCAACAGTCACAGTGTGTTCTTAGCTCACGTTACCCCCACCCCCTCTCATCCGCCATTTAATTCCTTCCAGATGTTTGCTGTCCTCAACAGGGAACAATTCTTCCTTGAGTGTGACTCTCTTAATTCATGTTTATGCAAACAGTTCATTTATCTCTCTGCCTGCTGTATTTACTTTGAATGGGCTTTAACTATGCTTCAACTTTCATACTTTCACAAGGGGAAAATAAGTTATAGAGTAACAATAATAACTGGTATTTCCTGAATCCTCTGTGCCAGCCACTCTTCTAAGTGCTTCTCGTGTTAATACACTTAATTCCATAACAAGCCTATGAGATAAGATCCTCATATTCCAAACGAGGAAACTGAGGCACACAGAGCTTGAGTAACTCGCAAGGTCACACACTGGTTGACGGAGGAGACTGACTTTGGGCTCAGGCAGTTTGGGTCCAGAGATCCCCTTGCGATACTGCCGAAACGGTGGAAGGCACAGAACAAAGTTTTTAACAGAGACACACAAATATGGAATAAACCTTGAAGGTAATGAGTTCCCCGTCATAAACCCAGGCGGGAGTCAGACTGCTTGGCAGGAATCATGGATTCTAATTGGGATTCTGATTCAATATTAATTGCTGAATACTAATGAATGTGTTAATATACACTTTATAATAATATATGAGTAATGTATTAATGTCTGTCTCAGGCCATGCCCTGGGCTCGGTGGTTCACATAGACACGTCTCCTGCAGCCTTCCTACCCACACCCCAGCCCTGAGATGTCTCCCTGTTCCATAGTTGTCTTCTATGTTCATTAAAAAATGATCACATGCGGGTTAAGTCAAGGTGCCCCAGATGTCACTGACCAGAGAGGATGTCTTCCCCCAAAACATCAGGCACACCCACAGTGCCAGCGAGGAAGGGGAAGTATGTGTGAGTTGGGAGGAAGAAAGCTAAGTGTTCTGTTTGAGGTCTGGTCACCTAAACCTTGGGCATTGGTGTTAATAACCCTCTATCTCTGTACAAAATTTCACATCCATTACCTCCCTTAATTTTCACTAGAACTAATCTTGGGAGGTAGGAAGGGCAGGTATTCCTAATCTCATCGAAGGGTGAAGAAAAGAGGCTCAGAGAAGGCAAGAGATGCCAGAAGCATGAAATAAGGTTGTGATGGGGTCATCTGTCCC